AAGATGAATAATAATAATATAAAACATTTTTGCGCCCGCGGATAATTTATAATGGCTGATATTCAGATATTATTTGTTATCCGGTATCTTTAACCCATGATCTTTATACTATAAGTCATTTTTTATTGAAAGATTATTTTCGATTTTTGTGCTGATTTGTTTGATTTACGCTTTATTTTGTATTCCATTATATATCAATGTGTACTAGAGTTGTAAACTATCACTGTCACGTACGCGCTCACCAACTTTATTACTTAGGTACATCGTCGACGACACGTATTATACGTATATTATCTTTACAATATTTAACTTTTTGTATAGTAATACGTATTATAAATTATTATAAGGTGATAATCGACCATTTCGTTCGGAAAATAATAATTAACGCACACAATATTATATTATTTGATGTACCGCGTGAATACAAATTTGTACTCCTGTACCAACAACATAATAACATTGTAGTGTTTATTTTTGTCTTTTTTTTTTATCTGAAGAAAAGAAAAAGAATGAAACCATCACGTCTATGTTTTATTGTTGTTCATCATTGATTGTTGTACTTACGAAGTGTTGCAAGCACGTACTAAAGTGAAAAAAAACATTTAACTGTCGATTTGATCGTACATATAACATTATATATGATCAACATTTTAACGCGAAACGTTTTTATTTTTCAATCACTAGGTCGCGTGTCCCTTAGTATATTCTAAACAACATAAACATTATTATTATGTTTCATCATCAACAACAATTATATTATTATATGGTCTCGGAAACTCGTTTAAACGGTCCGAACGTATATTTTTTTTTCGATTTACACCGATCGTCTTTATCAACAACAACAAAATAACAAACCCAATGTCATACTTTACTTTCTTCTTTCGTCAAAGTAAACTTCACATTTTTGATTCCAGTTTAATTACCGAGATTGAAATTTTATAAATACGAGACAATGTGAGTATGCGACTCTAATAAAATATAGCAACGTCGTACGTGTCGTCGCACGTTTGGAAATCAGTCTGTCATTTTTACTCCATATCGGAGGATTATATTATACCCACTGAAATTCGACGAGCATTATTTTTATCGATGTTACGCCGAATCGACGTATACATAACATTCATAATAATATATAATTTTCTTCAGCTTATAGCGCCCATCTAAGGAAATAAATTAGTAAATCCGAACGACGTCACTTAAACACTATGGTTTTATGATATTCTGACACCTGCAACCAGCTAGATGTACCTATACTATTTATTTTCAAATAGTTAATAAAATATTTTATGTTTTGTTTTATTAGTAGGTACTTGCATAAAACTAGTTAAACCGTTGTATGCGGGACGAATAATTTCGAATGTAGTTCTCGACGAGCGACTCCGCAGTATAACTGTACAAGTCTACACTTGATATCGGACTTACTTGATTTGACGATATAATATAATATTATAATATAATAGTATTTAATTGAATTTGATGTGAATAATTTAATTGAATCAACGTTGCCGTAACATCAAATTCACATTTTCAATATTGACATAATAGTTAATTAGTAAACGGTTTAAGTTTAGATGAGAGGAATAGATAATAGCTTGTGCATAGTGTATACCACTTCATCATCGGTCAACTCAACTGAACTTAAACGCTTATAAATATTGATTCAACGTTTGATAATTATGTAAAATGGATTCTTACTTCATAAAAATATCTCGCTTATAACGATGTGAAATTATTGATAAGGCTTGTCCCAGAAATTGACATAGAAAATGAGCATTGAGCGTATCCGATAATAAGTGGATCATTCTGTATTTATCATAATAAATCTAACCGCCTAAGTATTTGTGCGTCATCTATACATATTCTATAACAGTTTTAAGTCATAATACATAATATTATATTATCGTCCCGTTCAGGGAAAAACCAAACTGATACATTTATTAAGGCGCGTACACACGAGCGAACAAAAATAACGAATGCTCACGAACGTTCGTGTGCGACCCACCATGCGACCGTGTAGACGACGTTCGCGAGCATTCGCGAGCGTTCGAAAACGTTCGCTGAATAGGTCGAATAGACTCGCACGACGAGCCGATCACTGTCGGTTTTTCAGTTATGTTCAAAGGAACACCGCGAGCATTCGTGTCACCGTTTGGACGGTATATTAATTAATTCAAACGTGCGTTATAAAATAATAAATAAATAAGTACTTAACTTACACTTTTTTATTATCTATTTGAAAATGGATTGGGATAGCAAAGATTGCTTGAATTTAATTGAAGCATTTAGATTGCAAGAAGTGTTGTGGGACTCGAAAAACCCATCATATTTTTCAAAAAATGCCAAACATGATGCTTGGTGTCATTTGGCAAAAGAAATGAAAAGACCGGTTGAGGAAATTAAAAAAAAATATTAAGCTTACAGGGATCATATCGTAGAGAAAAAGCAAAAGTAAAAAAAAGTTATGGAACTGGAAAAGGTAAATATTAAAAATTAATAATTAATAATAATTAGAATGAAAATTTAGAAATTAAGTACCTACCTACTTATAATATTATTTTTAAAAGGTGCCAACGACATATATCACTCAAAATGGTTTGGTTTCGACGCCATGCATTGTTTTTTAGCTGATAGAGATGATCCAATGCCGACTATAAATTCTGTAAATGTGAGTTTTAATAACTATGTCATGATTATATTTTTATATAATATAATAATATATAATTAATTATTTATAACTTAGCTGGAGTGTGTTTAGAGTTTTTATTTTTAGACTTTAGGGGACTAATAAAAATAACGTTAGGGTATTACTCGGCAAGAAATACTGTTATTTATAAATACATTGTATAGAAATAAACTACGTATAATTTTCAAATACTTTAATAAATTATTACATAAATTAGAATGAATAATGAAATAGTATTGTAGGTACCTACTCAATTAGTCATTAAAGTAAAATTTTAAATATTTTGCCATTGTACACTGCCATTTGTAAGAAAGTAATCAGCAAAATGTTCCCTTATTTCTTGCGCTTGAAGTGGTGGTCTACAAGCGATATTTCTTAAGGGTAGTAAAGAAGTTGTAGTACTTCCAGACTCCCTCCAATCACCCCGTATCATGTGGCCTTCCTCTTCTCTATCAAACGATCCAGGTGGGGTATAGATGTTTCTTGACGATTTACTACGTCTTAAAAAATTATGTAAGTAAACAACTGCCATAACCACAATTTGAGCTTTTTGAGGTTCCAATAACATTGGTTTTCTTAGAACACGAAAGACGGCAGATGAGATGCCAAATGCGTTCTCAACAGTTCGTCGAGCACGACTTAACCGGTAATTAAATATTCTTTCTTTTGTACTTTTATCATGGGTTCCAGAATACGGTTTCATAATATGTTTTGTAAGGGCAAAAGCCTCATCTGCAAGAAAAACGAACGGTATATCTACATTTTTCCCTGGCAAAGGTACTGGTGAGGGCAAGTTTAATTTCTCCCTTTCTATTTTTTTGTGTAATTCAGTATTTTTGAACACTCCTCCATCCGAAATACGTCCTTGACACCCGATATCGATAAACAGAAAATTGTAGTCTGCGTCGACTAATGCAAACAATACAATGCTAAAAAATGATTTATAGTTAAAATATTCGCTGCCGCTGTTCATTGGAGATTGCAAGACGATGTGCTTTCCATCCATAGAACCAATGCAATTCGGATAATTCCATGTTGTTTCAAATTGTCTTGAAATATCAAGCCACTCATTTGACGTGGAAGGCATCTATATTAAAATAGTGTTTTATTAATTTACCTATATACTATAACACTTATAAAAGTAAAAACTACATAATATGAATATATGATACACGATTAGTGATGTTCACATAATAGTATTTTGTTTTTTTTCTATATTATACCTTATATTATACGTGTATTATTTAGAGTTAGAAATTCATAAAAAAATTTCTTTTTAAATCTAAGATTTTAAAATGTAACACAAGATTTAAAATAAGTTTTTCTACTTTTATCAAAAATAAAATGTATAAAAGCAAGTAAAAATAAATTTTTATGAGCATTTTAAGTTCATAATTTTACAACATTATCCAATACTGTATTCACGATGTGTTATAGGTATTCTTATTTAATATAATATATTTATTGTTATTATATATTTCAGATTCTAAGTGAGACAAGAGAAATGTGTGCTTCACCGTATACTGGAACTGAAACATCCACAGACACAAGCGATATTTTTATGCCAGAGGAGGATGCACTTGATACAAGTGAAACACAAACATTTCCACAACAACAACAATTTGTATCTGCAGATAATGAGTTCACTTGTCCGAGTACAATCCAGCAGTCAAGAGGAAAAAAACGAAAAAATTTAGCCAATACAGACACAAGAATCGATGAAGCATTTGCGATTTTAAAGAAATCTGCTTCGAACATGGAATTAAATCAACCATCTCCCGACGAGTGTACTACATATGGTACATTTATCGGAAATAAACTTCGAAATTACACTCCAAAAACCAAATCATTTGTTCAGTATTACTTCAACAATATACTTTTTGAAGCGGATATGGGAAGATTTGATGGGATGAACGAAAGCAATCAAAGTTCATCTTTACCAACATGTTATGGTAATCTGCCACCAACAACCCATAGTTCAAGTCAAACTTCACCTCATATTATTTTTCAAAATGTACGACAAGAACAACCATCCACATCAAACGCAGTTTTCAATCCAATATTTGAACATACATCAGATGGGTCTTCTCTAGAATCATCATACCTAGGTTAGGTAGCTACTTATTTTCATATTAATGGAAAAGTTTGTATTCATTGTTTTTATTTTAATTTTGATGAAAAAGTATGTTTTTTATGTTTAAATTTTATGAAAAAGTATGTTTTTTATGTTTATTTAATTAGAATGAATTTTGATTTGAATGAATTTGTTTGAGTTTAATTTAAGTTTGATTATTAATAAAACATTATTATTTATTACCTATGCATTACTTACTTTTACATATTCCTTTAAAACTTCAACGATTGCCATGCAGACTTCAGGAATTATACATGAAATTATTTGTTTTGAAATGCCGAATAAATATTGTAAGCTGCTATATGAATCTCCGGTGGCAAGAAATCTCAGCGTCACAGCTAGCCTAACTGTTACCGAAATAGCTTGACGCATATTCGTATCTTGCTTGATTACTTTTGGCCCGATGAGATTAATAATTTTTTCAAAATCAGCTGATGACATTCTTGTAAAATTTTGAAAATGGAAACTGTGTACATCAGACTGCATACTATTTAACAAATTAGCTCCTCTATTTTCACTATCGATGTAAAGTTTTGATCTCCAAAAACGTCTTTTACGTCGAACTTTTTTTTCTTTGATTTTCATAAGTTCATGCATTACAATAAATGCTGCACTTGCAACTTGTAAATGATTACTCATAATTCACCAATAAAATAATAATTAAATAATTGTTATACTTGAAAAATTGCTTTTTGTAATACTTTTTTGTATTTAAACCAAAACACTACGTTTCGATACTAAAGTATGTTAACAACTGTACTCGACTCTGGAATGGGCCCGAACAGCTACGCATAGTATATTTCGTGCGTCGCACATACAATATGTGTCCACACGAACAAACAGAATTCGTCCGAATGCTCATGCGTGCTCGTTCGCGTTCGAGTGAGCACACTTCGAACGTCGCACAGTGTTCGCTCGTGAGTACGCACCTTTATGATATGGTACGAAGTAGGTACAACGATCGGCAATAGGGTCCCCCACGCGGACAGGCGAAATCCAAAAACCTCTCGATCGCACTACTTTCGCGACACATATTATTATTATACCCATGTCGCGGTCCAGCCGACCGCGAAGCGTCATTTGCCGAAATTCAATATCAAATTATTTTGATTGTTATATTTTATGATAACCGTCGCCATACACTATATTATTATTACTATCATCAAATCATTATTATTATCGGTTTCTTCGCATTTGTTATTGGTATCTTGAACGAAATTGGGACGATAATCCCGCGTGTCCACGACGACGGTGTCTTCGCAGCATATAATATATAATATATACTATTATAGTTAAACTACCAAAATACCAATAATATGAATACCCTATAATATTATACTAGTTGTTAATAATATATAGTTGACACGTTTAAAATTCTTAAAAATCACCAAAAATTTGTAATTTTTTTTTAGTGGAAAATATTGCATAACATTTTAAATTGGCTTGAAAATTCAACACAAAGCTACCCACAATTTATTCTTACAGGAACCTATGGCGTAAATATACAAGGTTATTGCACATAGCTTTTATTGTTATCAAACAAAAAAAAAATGGCAGCGTAAGGGTACAGTCCATATCTTAGAATATATCATAGTATAGCCAGCTTACGTTGCCATTTTAATTCCTTAACCTGAAAAAATATATATAGTGGGGAGTACTATTGCAAAACCTTGTATATTTAAAATACATGCAGAAACCTAAAAATGTCAAAAATACATAGACATACAGTCCGTTTTATAGACATTTTAAATTTAGATATTATTTAAATATTAGATATTTTCAAACGAAAAATATCGTTTTTAGTTATTTTGTGGAACCTACTTAATTAAAAAAATATTATTCACAATGTATATAAATATTAGTATATTAGAAAAAGAAATTACCAGGAATGTATTATAGTTGCGTATCCCTATATATTATACTATAAACATGTGAATATAATAATGATTTACTTATTTTCGGGATTTGTTAAAAATACAATTCAACATAAATTATATGTGGAGATAACCGATAACCTACATTATATTATTTACATAATTTACACAGCAAGTAACTGCGATCAACTGCAGTGGCATAATTCTTGAGATACAATGAGGTTGTGAATTTGTGTTCTATGATTTTGTATGTGGTACAATTCATTTCATGGTCGTTTCGCGAGTGAACCTATATCGGTCTCGAGCATACGTGTAAGATGTATCGATTCTAAAATTCTATAATATATATATTTTAATTCGAATCCGGAAGAATCAACCCATGCTGCAATTATTATAATATTCATCGATTATATCACACGGGTCGTGATAATATATTATAATGTATCGATCGTCTAGTTTATTTTTCTTTTTTTGAAATCTAGCGGTGTCTTCTGCATTTTACTGGATAACAATTGCACGCATACCGAGTACGAAATGTTATAATATATATGTACATGGGATATACCTACATGTGCATCGTTTACGTATGCCAACACAGTATGTGGACCGTATAAATATACCAAGTGAATATAGACGACAACAATTTTCTGGTTCCTCTGCGTTTCGGGAAACGATACAAAAAGTCCTATATAATATTTATATATATTGTGTATGACACACTACACTTCCAATGTTACAATAGCTGTATTAACCGATAAACGTACATGCGCGCGAAACGGGTCGGCAATCGCGACGACTATACTGTGTACATATTTTTTTATTAAACATCGATCGATGACGCGTTTACCGGAAACATATTATTATGATAATAATGTGTCGTATTAGTGGTAAAAAAATTCGCCTCAACCGAATTGCAGCGTCATCGGATAAAGATTAAAAATCAAATCGTCCTAATTGCATGTGAAATGCGAGATGCATAAAAAAATATGCAAAAATGCATACGAATTGTAGCGTTCAACAATAATGATAAACTAATAAAAAATAATATCTGTACTTTATCGTATATATTATCTTGATGACATTATATACCTATAGTATACAAACACAATATTATCTCAAATATTAAAAAAAAAAATTACTAGGGACAACAGACAAATAAAATGTCTACGGAACATAATGGATAAGTATAATATGAAAATAACCAAATAAGATGGCTTTAATTCGTTGACAAATAATTAGGATAGGTAAACATTTTTAAATAAAATAAAATTTATAAAAATAGTTATTTATAATACTACAGTAGCACGGTGCTTACATTCAGTCACGAAACGTGTTATGAGTGTAACCACCTGCCGGTGTCATTATAGTTCCCGGATGGGTGACCACCCGGGTTTTTAATGGAAAATCCATGCCACACATACGTGTGTTCAAACTAACCACACCCTCCCACACAGTAACAGGCTAATGGCCTCAGTCGTCGAAGCCTTAATTAAAAAAAAAAAAAAAATAATATTTTTATTATTATATGATTATAACAGATACCTACATTTATAAGTTTTTACTTTTTATACTACCTATAATCATTAGATATTAATAAATTGCATACAATACGAATTTAAACCACATCAATTAACCTTGTCGACTAAACTATCTGCTACAACTCCTAATTCGGAAAAAGAAGGAAGAGAAATTTGACAATATTGTATTGTATTATATAAAAATCAGGCCTGAAATGCGTTTGTTTATTCTAAAAAAAAATCGGTTGCACCCACAATAAAAAAAGCACTCGAATCGACCCGAATTTTAGTTTTGGCACGAAACTCGTGGATGCAGCCTAAATAATAAACACTATTAGCTGATATTATGTTAAATCTTAAAGGCGAGACGTCGGCGGTCCTGAAATTACGGGCGGAAAACGATAATAATAGTACATAATATTATAGCCATGATTTATATAGGTATTATATTAGCACCTATACGAGCGATATGCGTATACAAAGTACCGGTGTGTATAATATAATATATTATAATATAAAATATATAATATCGCATATTTATTGTAATGCAATATTATTATGACGTGGTATCGTTCCCACGAATCCGGGTGATCGAAATGTGTAATATTCTCTCGCGCCCGCGGCAGCGATAATCCGACCGGAAAACGTCTGACGAGAAGATTGCCGTGCAACCATGTCAATACAATAATATTATGATTATTATTATTATTATTATGTATTATATTACACTAGCGTTTATTAAACTGTTCTTCAGAAAACGGCAATAGGTATGTGCTATTACTGCTATTCCCCGATACGTAAAGGTACCGCAAACGTGAAATATCGTTCATGTAATACTCATAGTATTGATGTTGTTGATGATGATGATAATATTTATGATGATACATACTAAAATAGGTATATATTAATAATATAACACGACGTGAATGTAATGTACCAAAATATACCAGTCAAAGTACAAAGTCTGAAATGTGAAATATTATTGTTAAAAACAATATTTTTATTTTGTGAAATGAACTACATTTGCTTTTGTATTGACTATATTTATCAACAGTAATATTTGTAAATTGTAAGTATATTATAAATAATAATAATCAAATATATATTTTTATTTTAGAAAATTTACAATCTGTATTACATGACACAATAAGTAAAATAGATGACTGACATCAGTGGCGTACATTCAAATTTGCTCTGGGGGAGGTTTAAAAAAAATAACCAGCACTAAAACTTTCTCTTTGCAACTACCCATTTTCCTAACAATCAAACACATTACACGTATAAATATTAATAGGCAAAATAGTAAAACAAATACAAAGGTTTACGTAACTCATGGCAGTTAAATATTATTTAATATGCACATAGTAAGTACAGAATATTATAAATATTATATTATTAATTATTTATAATAAAAATTCTATTGATTGTTATATTCTAAATTCGAATGATTTTTAAAGTCTTAAGACTTAAATTGGAATTCCAATGCATGTTTCCAATCATCATATTTTTTTAATACAAATGCTCCCAATTTTTGGTTATTAACACCGGCTTCATTTTTAGTAAAAGCAACACAATATTTGCAATACGCACCATTGTTTACTTCTGAATAGGCCAACCAGGGAAAGTTAATTAGCTATTTATATTGAAATTTCAACCTCAAAACTTTTTGTTGTTTACCGACTACTGATATTTTGATAAGAAAATTGTAATTAATATCAGGGACCCAAATTTTGCTCAAAATGTCTTCTATTTCACTTTGCGTTAACAACTTATTTGTGTAATGTGCAATGTCAAAAATATTATAACTGGAAGATGTACGATTAATATCTGTAGTCGAAGGTGTAAACTGAGTGATAAGTGTATCAGATGCAGATGCAGTTGATGGTAATGGGGAACTAGAGGAACTTATAACTGTTTGAGTTGCATTTAATGAATTTGACAATTAATTCATTATTGAGGGTGGTTTCGAAAAAAAAGATTGCAGTTTCGATTGATTTTTTTCAGCCATGATTACTATTTATTTTACCTTCAAAACCTAAAATATATCGAAATCGAATGATAATGATTATGCTGTGATAATAATAATTTTTAACTTAACTACTAATTTACTAAATTTATTTTTTAATCAACGTTAAATTAACGAATTAATTTTTTTATTTGTAAGTTAATTTATTTTGTTTTTCATTTTTTTACATTTCATTATTTGAGTCTATTTTGTTGCCATGTCAAAATTTCAATAATATAGACATAATATTATGATATAGTTTGCCGACACTAAAATCTAAAAATAAACAAAACAAAATAAATCAATTACCTATTGATTTTATGGTTTACGGTTTTGTGAGATTATTAATTATTATTAAAAATTATTATTAACAGTATTCACGTTGATAGTTAAACATTAAAATTAAAAATACCTACTCAATACTCATCGTATTATGATGTACACAAATAATATCTGTTTGAAAGACAACTAAAATATATAATACTTATTTATTATTATTTATTACTTATTACTTATGTGATAGGTAACTTCTGTACTTAAAAATACAATATATACTATATCTATATGTGTATGCATATTAACTTAACTGAGTTAAAAAAAAAAAAACTCAAAGTCTTGTGTGTTTATAATGAGTCGGTCGAGATAAAGACAATACTAATATGTATTTATATCCGCACGCAACTAACTGACTGTGTACGATCAAAATAATGTCTATTTTGATTGATATACCATATTATACGGCACCCATAATTTCGTTATGAAATCTTTTTTCGTTGTTGGTTAAGTATAATGTTTACTGATTGCTCAATAGTCATATTATAATGACGTATATTTGTGTATACACGGTTGATTAATAATAAGAAATTCATCAATAATATCACATTATTTTTTTATTTTTTTTTGGTCCTGGGGGGGGGGGTTTGAACCCGAAAACCCCCCCCCGTATGTACGCCACTGACTGACATAATACTATAAACATACATAAAAAATAACACATGTGTGATCAATGATATACAAGATAAGGGAAATCATCCAGCGATGGTACCCTCCAAATATATATTTAAATTATTTTTGAAATTTTGATTTTGCTAATTGCACAATATAATTGTTTGGAGTTTATCGTCCGACTGAAAAATGTGCACGGACTGTTTGCCTGACGGTAAAAATGACTGCAGACTTTTTTCAAATCACACTTTAGCTCCCGGAATTTTCGTCCTGCATTCGCACCTGCCAGGATGTGTATATGCAACATATTCATATATAACTCTAAAGGCTTTATCTTGTATTAAATTGTGGTCGCGGCGATAGTGAAGTCCGAATATATAGGTACGAGAATTGGATTAATAGATATAGAAAAGAATAAATGGAATAAAAAAAAAAATTGCATAGGTAGTTGTAGGCACGTTAAATAACACGTTAGACGTGCTGTGCTTAATATATTTAACGCCTCAAGTTTCGCATTGTTATATTATTAATTATTAATCGCAAACCACTGTTATTTTGGCGAATATACTAAAAATGATCAAACATGTATTGTGTGTGTGTGTGTGCTTTCGTAATAATAGAGCTGATAAAGAATAATAATGTACAACTCTCGGTGCAACCGTCGCGCGCATACATTACTGCAGTTTTTCTCGAACGACACGCGGCAGCTGCAAATTAATCCTTTTCCAACGGATCCGGCCACCCGTGAACAAATATTTCATTCGCGTTTTTTGAAAATTACAATATTGTTACAACAAACATATCGCGAAATCATAATATAATATATTAATATATTATTATGTTCTACTGCTCCGCATATGTATTATAATATATTACGGGACCGGAGTTGTCGAAATTATCCTTAGCTACGCTAATTAATCCAGTCGTGGATCCTGCGCATTTGCCGTTGTACGCAACGCGTACATTCAAGTTCATTATATTTTAGATATTATGATGTGTTTGAATAATATTATACGAGACCGACCGCGTGTAAAACATAATATTAAAAATAGGTAATATAACGCAATAATAATAATACCTATGTATTATGTATAGGTACATTATACTATTATTATTGTGCTCCGGCGCCGTCTCGCACAAAATAATATTATGTTGATTACGCTCTAATTAAGTAACTGTATTATATCTGTGTATAGTGTGTACCGTAGGAAGTCTCATCTGCTCTTCTCGCACCTGTTGCACTCACGCCAATCGACCGATATAACACGCGATTTATAAGAAATCTATAATAATAATATTATTTGATGTATACTCTTTTACATCAGAGCCTTACATTACAATATTATATTATAATAATATAGTCCTATAGCTGCGGTTGGATTTTTTTTCCGACGACTCGGTTTAACGATATTTAACTTACTGTATTATACACTTAAACATCATATATTTTATATAAGTATTAAGGACGCCCATAGCTGTATAATAATAATAATATAATATAGTCATTCCGGTAAAAGAAAAAAAAACATAATTTTGATTCAGAGCATTATTGATTTTGACGGTCATTATATTATAATATATATACAATGCTTCGATGTAGGTATTCAAAACTCCAGTTAACATTATAATACCTGTATTATATCGATAATAACCGTATTTTTTTGTTTGTGATACATTTATTTACCATTATAATTTGTAATATATACACAAATATAATATTATGAGTGTATGTGTACCGTTTCAAAACAAAAATCCCATACACCCTACAATTATTTTCCGGGAATATAATAGGATTTTGTGAGTATTATTAACGTATAGCGCTCGGGATTAATATTAAATTGTACATAATATTATAATTATTGGTCGTCATCTTCGTCTTCGTTATAAGACATATTTAACCGTTATTGTATAAATTAGGTTTTTACCTTATACACAAATTGTTATTTTATAATATGTTTATTGCGGGGAATTACATTTTTGTACTTGTTTTAGAAAAGTTAATTTTTTTTGTACAAAACAAAATTTATATATTTTGTTCAACATTTCGTTTTAATAAATAAAATGCGACACTCAGTTATTGAGGTTTAGCTCGTTAAAAATAATACTGACATTGATCGTGATAGTTATAACTATTCTCGTTCTCACAACTATTCAGAGCTTCCATCACTATAATGACATTTTTTAACTGCTCTGTCTATTTTTACTTTTTAGACCTAGTTTTTATAAAGGTATTAATTATATCTTATTTATTTTTACATTAAATTGAATATTTTAATATATTTATTTATTTAGTTTACTGACAATCGCGGACCCGATGTTGCTTTACGTTTACCTAATCATTTTTTTTAAACGAAATTTCATGTGAGTATCGCACAAATTTGTCATAAGAAGGAAACATTGTGTAAAACCACATTAAATATAGTTTCCATTATACGTATTAGATTAATCCACCGTAAGGGGTTCAGCATTCGTTTTTCATAATTATTTTTCATTTACCGTACTCTTCGAAATTGGTTCACCGCAACCTGCCTAATGGGGAATACACCTATAACGATACAAGCGTATCGTTGTTATCGAACATTACACTTTATATATAAGGTTGTGTATATTATTATACAACATAGGAAATTGTTATATACGTGTATTATAATAGTGGTCATCATGAGTTACATCGTTGTTTATAGGTATATTGCTGTATCATATTATAATTTATGTATTCAATTCAATTAATTGTATGGCCGAAGAAATGCACCATTGTTTTAATGTCCAATAATAGTCTTAACAGATCGCATCGAGATGAATATTGTTATTGTAATATATTATATCGTATTGGGTTGCATATAATAATGTATAATGATAATTATAACAACAATAATATGTATACACAGACTGCAGGCAAGTGGGTCTTGCGAACCGTTTAGCGCTCACCGATACCGATCGAAAAGACTTTAACGAACCGTTAAAAACGTACATAATATGCATGCGTTTATAAGTGCACATTATAATAATATTATATTATGCTACACAAATCGATAACTTGGATGCAGAATCGTTAGCAATAACACCTTCCAACGAAATACTAATTATTTCCAGTGTTTTCCTATGTATTATAAACATTAAACGTAATAGTTTCGTATTTTGGTCGCGATATCATTATAATATGATATCGCGGAAAAACAAATAAATCCCAAGAATCATAAGTCGTTTAACCTAGTTTTTCAACCAGAACTGCGATTTTGCTCTATACGCTTCAAATATTGTGATTTTATTGAACTTTTAATCTTGTAAAAAAATATATTAAACCTGAATATTGTTTGGTGAGAGTGTGGGACACAATAATGATAAACAACTATAGGTATACAAATATACATAGATATTATAATAATTAATAGTTAATAATATAGGTATTCGGATAAACTCTCACACACACAAGGCAAAAGTTCTTCTTTTCTTAGCCAAGTGATTAAATAAAATATTATTTTGCATATAATTACCTTCGTTGCAAATGTTTTTATAAAAAAAAAAAAAACTATAAGAACTAGTTTAAATAATATCCCGAAATTATTAAAAACGAACAACATTCATTGGAATATAATTTGAACTAATTTCTCTAATTGCGTAGAACAAATTGTTCTAGATTTTCAGATTCGTGTTAAATATTTTAATTTTCTATCACAATGAAAGTTGAAAAATCAGTTGTGGGAACGAAGATAATTGAAACGTCCAAACAATAATAACAAAACGATTAGTCCATATTCTTTAACCACAATTTAAATAAAGTTAAATTGTGTTGAGAATTTATATTTTTAAATTTATTAATTATGAGCGCAATAATATTTGTGATATTCAAATCAATTGATACTCTACTCTTATTCACTCTATATAAAAATAAAAACGACCAATAACTGATGTTTAGTCTAATCGAAGTGTATGATATATCATATATATATAGGTATATTATCATTAACCATTAGGTACTTTTAACTTTTAAGAACATCAAAACTAGAAATGGGCACAATAATATTATTGTTCTCATTAAATTGAACGTGCGTTTATGAGATTCAATAATTGGCTAAAAACGAACAGACGATGTATTTTTTTTGATTTACTGAAAGAAATGATTTTGCTCGTTCGCCGGTAATCGATCGTAACTGGTCAATCTTTGCTGCATCCATCACTCACAAAAACTACAACAACAATCACAAAAACAGCTCGTATATTATTATATATACACTTTGGTCGATGTACCTGTACAATAATATGTACGAATTTTCTCGATCGCAGGTAACCGATCGTAACCGGGCCGCGCAATCATTCGGTATACCTTCATCCAACATATTCCAAATACGCACTTCGATGCACAACGTCAACAGACTACCCAATGCAATCCGTGGTCGATCGGTAAAAGGTCAAAAAAACAAAAATGTCCAATTTTGCACTCACCTTGAATACCGCCAACATCAGCAGGACGACGGCGCGAAAAGCGGTGCCATCCATTTTCGGGTGGGCGGCAGTGGTGGCGAAAAAATACTCGAGCGGCGGTTGTTTCGGGGCCGACGAGAAAACGAAAAAAATCCCAAGACGGATGTTCAATATACGATAAAAACGTAAATGTGTCTGCACTCGACAACGAAATGCTTGTTAGGCACCGTATAGTATAGAAGGACCGATCGCGTGAAATTCGTTCTGTTCAAAAACGGATCAAACTTATCGTTTTGATATTAGAATAATATTATACAGGTAGCTGATGTATATTATTATTACAGTGTTTATCACACGGTCAAACACGAAGTCCGCGGAGACGACACAGTGGCGGCGAACAATCTCAACAACGGCGGTGTTTGCGGTTTGGGCGCGACGGACGTTGTGGCGTGCGGAAGACGCGACCTACGGTGCCTTGTGCGAGCGTTTCGTCGCGACTCGGAAACGCGCGCGCGTGGTGTGGAGTGGTCGCTGCCGCCGCCGCCACCGTCGCACTATCACCGCTGTCACGGGCCAGCGAATCAACGCGCGTTCCTGCTCGTTATTACTATTATTACTATAACTATTTACTAAAACTAAAACGATTACTATTACTATTGCCTATCTTGTTGACAGCTGCAGCGGTCGTTGTCGTTGCAGTCGTTGTTAAACAATAATATTATGGCTAATAGTTTATACAAGGATAGCACATCATCCCCATAGATGTCTAACTTGTAAGGTAAACTATGATCGAACCACAGATAATATGTGTATTACAAATACCTGTTGATGTATATTTTACATATATGATATATATGTTGTGACTTGTGGTTGTACTGTTGGATGAGTCTCCTATCTAGTTATTATATACCTACAGATATCTGTGGAGCGAACAGTCTTTAAGTCACCGTAATGGTTGTACTCGGTTGTGGTAGTCACTGATTTATAGTAAAGATAAAAATGTTATCAATCCACTGCTGTAGGTAATATTATAATATGTGTCTCCCTGTAAATCCCAAGACTATCAACTTTTAGAGAGGTTTCTGCATTGAATTTAGTTTTTGCTTTGGGGTTCAAATTTCAAATACATACAGGCAAAAAAAATAGAGAGACTAGAAATAAGAATATTTTTTAAATTGTGATATTATTAGTAAAAAAATTGTTTGATAATCATGGTTGTCATGATGGACAGTCTCAGGTGGGAATCGTTCTTTTATCGTATACAATGATTTATCATTTCATTCAAATTTAACACATCCATATTACCTACAGTGACTCATTGACGAGGCATTTTTGAAACTTTTTTTGTATGACGAATTTTTTTATTGATATTCATTGTAATAACTAATTTTTAGTACAGTGAAGTTTTTATATTGTATTATTATTATTCACTACAATTATATACAAATGTAATAGTGGTTACTCTTCAAAAATAAATAATTACGAATTGTCTTTTTAATCCTAATAGTAACTAAGGAACTGAATGATTGATTAGACATTAAGCTCAATACGTAGCAGAAATGTACATAATAAAAAGCCTACAGTACTCTTCAGTCTTCGATCGTCCTTGAGGCCTTGAATACGACATGTCCTATCTATGTATATCATCTATAAGAATTAAACCAATTTATATATATTTATTTTATATATTCCCAGCTAATATATATACGCACCTATAATGTTGTCGAACTTATTACGCCTGTATTATATATAATGGTCGATATTGTAAGGAATAATAAAATTGTGCAGTATGTAAGTACCGGAAGTCCGTAAGGTATCCATTTACTGGGACTCAGCTGATTTTTAGTAGCGAACTAGACACACACTACGAGTCATTATTAAGAGATCGGTCAAAAAATGTAACTGCACTGCAACTGAAACTTAAAACATAAATTTAGGTAGCAAGTAAGTAACTAATTCAAAGGATTTCAAGAAATATAAAATTTATAAAAAACCAATTCGGTTTAAATTTAAAAAAAAAATCTATGAAAGGTTTATGAATAGGAACACTAATCGATAAAATAAAGACCTTTAAATAATTGTTTCAATAGAACTGTCGCATGGTTATAAAAGTCGATTACGTTGAAAAAAATAAAAATACTTGGTAACCTGTCAAATTATATTAAATATAATAATTATAAAAAACTGAGGAAGTCACTCTGCTGTATAGTAGGTATCATGTGTACCTTTTCATTGAGTAGGTCACTGTAATGGACGTGTTAAATTTGAATTCCGTGATAAATCATTGCTTATAGGTACTAAAATACAGCCTATATACTTCTAAAAATATTTTATAATGAATTGCTATATAAGTTATTTATTTTTCTAATAGTAAACCTACGATAGATTGAACTAATTTTTGCCAAAAACAAATTGCATATTATACTATATAATATGACTAGCTGTTATTACTTATTATCTTATAAATCAATACAGACATAAGTACAATGATAGGTTTATGGTATAAATAGATTAAAATCTTAAATATTTATAAAAAATTTCAAAATTTCAAATTTGTTAACTAAATTATGTATCTAATTGTGGAATGTTTCAATTTTCTACAATTAATATTTTTTGAATTACAATGAAATATAAAAACAACTTGTATTTAATTTCCAAAGCATAGATATTTTAATTAAATATGTCCATAATTTTTAAATACAAAATAATTTATATTATATTTAAGTGATTTTAACAAATGTCTGAAATTTAAAATCCTAATAAAAAAAAATGTCGACTGTTTATTTAAATATTTATTAATTGTGGACTGCGATAATAACCTTGTATTACATTTTCAATGTTTTACTCACAAACAAAGGTTTTGTATTACATAAATAAAAAGATCAAAGTATTCATCTATTCACTAAAAAAAATATCTAAGACAAAAAAATTAAACACAAATCATTATAAAACAAATAAATTCTTTATCTGTTCAGAACTATTTTTTCCTTTATTGTTATATACACAATCTGTACCTCAAGGGTACAATAAGAGTATTAGCTAAAATACAAAAACTAAATACATTAATAAACTTGATAAAAGTAGCCACCCGGTGATGACACTTTTAAGTGAAGTTTTCTGTTCCGAATCTAAAATCTTAAATAATAGATATGAGATTACAAAACTAAATACATGAATAAACTTGATAAAAGTAGCCACCCAGTGATGACACTTTTAAGTGAAGTTTTCTGTTCCGAATCTAAAATCTTAAATAATAGATATGGCAAAATTATTACTATAACAACTTATTATACACATAGGTATTTAAAACCCATCATGTGGCCTAAAGTGATAGAAACTGTATTTTCCAAATGAAAACCGCACTTTTTAACTGTTTAATAATATTTGATTGATAATTGTGTTGCTTCTAAATCACTGTTAAGATTAATAGTCCTTAATAATGTTTTTGAATAACATATAACATTACATCAATCTAATACTTGAGGGGATTGGAAGCGGTGATTTTCTGTCTTTGTCTAACACACGTGCAACGGGAGCGGGTCATGTCTTCGAATATCATGTGTTCGAAGGTCATGTTTTCGAATGACGAGTGTTAGAAAAGTTATTTGTTCGAATGGTAATGTCATCGAAAAATTATTTGTTCGAAAAATATATGTTCGAAAAGTTGTATGTACGAAAATTATTTATTTAAATTAAAAAGCTATCTAATATTATAAAAATTAATAAACATAAAATTTAAAAAAAATATTTGGAAAAAAATATATATATATTATATAATATATAATTTTTTGCTCGATTGTTATAAATTTGTGAAGCCCTGAATAAAATGTTGAGAGATAAAGTGTTAGATCAGAACTTCCGAGAACAACTAATACATTTTTATATTTTTTATTTTATACATTTTTTATTTCATATATTTTATTCAGTGCTTCACTAATTTATTACAATCGTGCAAAAAATTCAATCTGAAACAGAATCACAGATTGAAATGTTAATATCCGGACATCAAATAAAGAAAAATAAATATGGTGTGGACCGCAATATGAGATTGCAATCAATTCAACTGCGAATAATCGACAATCCTAAATATTGTAAATTGGAGTTTTTAAAAGCAATTGCATATAATTTAAGCTTTTAATTATTGATTTATTACTGCATAGGTATATTTTTCCAAATATTTTTTTATTAATTTTTATAATATTAGATAGCTTTTTAATTTAAATAAATAATTTTCGTACATACAACTTTTCGAACATATATTTTTCGAACAAATCATTTTTCGATTACATTACTATTCTAACAAATAACTTTTCTAACACTCGTCATTCGAAAACACGACCTTTGAACACATGACATTCGAAGACATGTACCCCACCCACGTGCAACATAGGTTCCATACAATTATTGGTAATCTTTTTAAAGGTCAATATGCCCGAGTTAGAAGTTGAAAGAAAAAATTGTTTTTTACAAATTTATTCATTTTTATTGAAGATCTAGCTATAATACACTTAGACAGTATTAAAGTAATACGAGCAAGTTTCACCTAACTAGTAACTACCTTATAATCGATTATCGATTACAAGTACTCACTATACTAGTATAAATTTTAACGATCTCGCTATTACTACCTATTAGATATCCAATGTTCTGTGACATAATAAATCACTAAAAATATATTTTTATGTCCAAAAGCGCCGATTAGATAATATTATGCGCGGACAGTTCGATATTAATATTTTGTCATACAACATAATACAACTATAATATAGTTTTGGATTACCTTATAACTTTCAAAGATTTAAATTAAATAGAATAAGGAAATCAGTTTAAAGCAGTAAATGGATAACTAATATATTTTTTATAATATATTGTATATAAATAATCAATAAACCTTTTTTTGGGAAATACTGCCATTGACAAGTAATTTAATAGCTATAGCTTTCAGATAAAACTGTTTTTACACCAATCGTACTCCATTTAATTTACTGTACATTTTACTATTTATTCGAGTAAAAAAATGCCCTCGATAATGCATATCCCATTTTCATATTGAATAAAAAACTGTACATTTAAAATGTATAATTGTAAAATTAAATCGTATATAATAAAGAATTGCAACTTGTTTAGATTACAAATAAAACCTTATTTTTTTTTTAAACCAGGCGGCAGTGTATTTTTGCATAACAAAT